TTTGCACTTTTGCTGGAAAAGCTCATCTAGCCTTCACCTGCCACTGACGGCTCTCAGTTCTCTGGGCCAAACCCCTCTCCTGAGATCAGCCATCGTATACAACTGTCTATGTGTCATTTCTACTTAAAGATGACTTTTGAGTATTCTGAATACACTGTATCCCACACTGAACTCAACATCTTCTCCCAATCCCACTGTCTTCTTTTGTTACCCATTTAAATTGATGGAATCAAGATGATTGCATTGGGTTAGGGTGATGTTGGTCAAAGGATACAAAATTTCATTTAGATAGGAGGAATAAGTTCAAGAGTTCTGTTGTACAACATGGTGACTATAGCTAATAACAATGTATTGTATTCTCAAAAATCGCTAAGAGTGGATTTTGTGTTTTCATCACAAAAAATAGCTGTGAGGTAATGCATATGTTAATTAGCTTGATTTAGCCATTCCATGATGTAAACATATTTCAAAATGTGTTGTACACAATAAAAATGCACAATTTTTGTCAACTAAAAATAATTTAGAAAAGTGATGAGAGAGAGAGAGAGAGAGAGAGAGAGAGATGATTGCACTGGCCGGCCGAGGGCTGCAAACTCACAGGGAAATCCATGAGGCAGCTGGTTAGAGCAGATGAGCCCTGGAGTCCCTTTGTACTCTTATTCATCTGTCGTTCTAAACCAGAAGCTCTCATATATTCATTGCTTATTTAAATGATGATATTTGCTTTTATCCTCTTATGTTTGCTGCTTCTTGCAAACTAATAAAGACTAAGAAAAAATAAATTATATCCCACAGGTGTTTCAAACTCTGCAACGATTTGTAGTTCCATCAAAAACAAAATAAAAACATAAATTAAGAAAAAAGTTTGGAACCAATGCCAAAATAACTATACTATACTCTTGAATTTAATATACCTAAAATGAAAACTATTATCAACAAAGCTGTACACTCCATAGTTTCATGTTCATAGATGAAAACAGAAATTTAAAGACTGTAAAGAGGACGAAAATTTGAAGGATGTTTTCTTCTCCCTTGCAATTTTATATTTTTTCTCCCTTTTCTGTAATAAGAAAATAAAATTTCTGCCTCTCCTGCTCCTATAACTCTAAAGATAATTTTACACCTGTGGTCCTAGAAGACTCGAGATCTTATGGGGAGACAAAAACTTCTCTACTAGTCCCACCAATAGCTGTGTAAACTCACACAGGCTGCTAAACCTCTCTGCATTTCCTGATCTGTGAAACAGTATGTTACGCATTTGCTTCATATGGGTATTGTGACAATTGAGTGAGTGAAATATGTGCAGTGTTTAGAACGGTGCCCGGCACACAGTAAGTAAGTGTTCACCGAATGTTACTTGTCAGTGTTATTATTGCTATTTCGGGGCGGTCAGGATGCCCAGACTTTCAAAGACCAGGAAGCAGCTTGACTTCTCGATGATATTCTCATTTGCTCCTCCTTCATTTCCTTGTAACCGCTCTTGTCTCTTCTGCATCGTCTCCTTTTTGGTGTCACTCCTGCCCCGCAAGTCCTTCCTTTGATCTCTTTCCTTCCGCCTTTTTATGTGCATAAATCTTTATTCATTTTCTGGCCTCCACCACTTACATATTCGTACTAATATTTTGCCACGTTTTTCTCTGCTTTCTCTATGCAGCGGACCACGTGTTAACTTATGCTGCGTTTGTACAGAAGCATAGCCCGCTGGGAGAGTATATGTTTGAGTTTGATGAGGATGCGATGTTCTACGTGGATCTGGACAAGAAGGAGACGGTCTGGCACCTGCCGGAGTTTGCCCAAGCCTTTGCCTTTGAGGCTCAGGGTGGGCTGGCTAACATCGCTATATTGAACAACAACTTGAACATCCTGATCCAGCGTTCCAACCACACCCAGGACAGCAGTGGTACTGCCTGTCTTTGCTTCTTCCTCTGTAGCCCAACTGGGAAGGGATGGGTGGCCCTGCCTCACCCAGAGTGGGAGCACCAGAGGCCCACTGCCTCTTCCCCTGAGTGGGCCTGGGCTCATCCAGGCCCTTCTCATGCTAGAGAAAGGCTGAGCTGAGTGGGGTTGGCTGGTGGGGTGAGACTCCTGGCTCTGATTCAGGAACCTGGAGGTACCGTCAGGTCTGAGCCTGACGTGGACCCCACTCCAAAGTGCAGCCTCTGTGCTTCGTCCAGAACAGGCGGCTCACCGGGCCTGTTTTCTCCCAGAGCCTCCGGAGGTGACTGTGTTTCCCAAGGAGCCCGTGGAGCTGGGCCAGCCCAACACCCTCATCTGCCACATCGACAAGTTCTTCCCGCCGGTGCTGAACGTCACGTGGCTGCGCAATGGGCAGCCGGTCACCGAGGGCGTCGCTGAGAGCCTCTTCCTGCCCAGGACAGACTACAACTTCTGCAAGTTCCACTACCTGACCTTCGTGCCCTCGGCCGAGGACGCCTACGACTGCCGGGTGGAGCACTGGGGCCTGGACGAGCCGCTCCTCAGGCACTGGGGTACGGAGCCCATTTTCCTCTCCCTAATGTCCCTGGCACCCCCTATCCCCAGGACCGGGTGCCCTCTGCACCAGCTTTCCCCACCCTCTGGCCTCAGTCCTCCCCGAGTGTGAACACGCCACCAACCGGCCCCTGACCTTCGGCCCCTTGCACATCCCAGACGAGCCCCACCCTCGCTACACCTTCTGACCCCTCCTCCTTCTTCTGGCAGAGGCCCAGGAGCCTATCCAGGTGCCTGAGACTACGGAGACCCTGCTCTGCGCCCTGGGCCTGGTGCTGGGCCTGGTGGGCATCATCGTTGGCACCATCCTCATCATAAAGGCTCTGCGTTCTGGCCGCGACCCCCGTGCCCAGGGGCCCCTGTGAGTTATTGTGGAGATGGGGTTTTAGGGTACAGTCAGAAGAAAAGAGGGGAGAGCCTAGTGTCGTGGCCTGTTTACAGGACGGAGGATGAACACAGAACACAAAACACAAACGCAGAACACAAAGAAAAACGCAGACACATGCACAAATGGTTGATTCGAGTAATAATACACAGGGTCAGTTTTATTTTTAAACTCTAAAAGATTAAAGTTAGTTCCTTGTACATAACCGCTCAGGGATTGCAGCAATGGCCATAAATTCTGGAATACGTAGCCTTAGAGAAGCAGATATCCTCTGGCTCAAGGTTTCCAGGTAGTTGCTCCAGGCACCAGGCATAGATCATGGACTGAGATTAGCAAGGATGGGCAAGGCGAGTCACAGGGGCATTTCTCATCCCCAGCTTCTCTTAGGGTGATCCCCTAAGATCTTCGGCTGAACCCTGGTGGCTGTGCATGGCTTAGGTCCCCCCTCCCTTGAGGGGCTTACCTGTCATTGACTAACCAGCCATCTTATAGGGTGTACGCAGCAATCACAGGAACAATGTGTTAATCGTGTGGGCTCCAGACCCCCAATACCGTGGGGTGGGGCAGCTCTTGCTTACTTGCAACTCAGGTCTGTTGTTATGCTTCTAGGCAACAGCCTTGTTTATGTTATGCCTCAAGGCAACAGGGGCCTTGTCCAGAACATATTACTTTTAAATGCTCTGGGCAGAGTACATAAAATTTAATTCTTGAACTAGGAAAATATATGTCAGTCCCCTACAGCCTAAGGTCTGTGCTACTTGAGGGAGGGAGGAAACAGTCAATTTGGTAAGTATGGGTTGATCCCTTAATGGGTTAAAAAGCACTGAGCTGTATAACAGCAACACTGATAATTCACTGAGCACGTAATACACTCAGGCACTATTCTGAGAACTTACACTTACTAACCCATTTTATCCTCACATTCTCTGTGACGTAGGCACTATTACTGTCACTGTTTTACATGAGTGACACTTAAGTCTTTGTACATACACAGAGACAGTAAGCAATTTGGCCAAGGTCACATGGCTAGGAAGTAATAGAGTTAGCATTCCAATTCAGAAATCCAAGATTGTTTGCTTAACAACTGCCCATACACTTGGCCTTTTATGAAGAAAAAGAGCAAGCCCAAACTCTGCAAGAGCCCAGAGTCTAGTGGTGAAGCCAGATCCATATTTCTGCCCATAATCACAACACAGTGTGACAGATGCCTACAAACTGTTTGCTGTCTCTGCTTGGACTCACTGAATGGCAACACTCATACAAATATGCCCCTTCTGGGATCCCGTGGTTTTCTATTTAACATAAAGCTTATTATGTTTTAGATATTTATGTGTTTCTGTAATTCTCTTCCTATTAGCTTGTGATCTTCCAGGCAGGTGACCACATCTAATTCATTATCATTATTATCACTATTTGTGCTGGACCACAGGTGCAAAGGGTCAAGTCCGTCAAGCTCCTCAGTTCATGCATCCCATCATCGTTGGTTCCTCCAGGTTTTCTCCACTGATTTGTTTGTTCCCTTCTAGCTCTAGTCTTTATTCCCATATTTAACCTCTTATTCCCATTCCTTGATTAAACATTCTAATGGATTTGATGAGTTTCCTTTTATTTGCATGTATCCTGTATAACATGTAGCATTGTTTCATGTACATGTATTTTTAATTAACCAAAATGGAATTATATTATAGATCTAATTTTGTACCTCTATCCATTGCTTCCAACTGTTCCATAGTGTTCTACTCTGTTCTTCCACCTATCTATATTCCCCATGGGATACTTGGATTACCTCCGGCTCTCCACTGTTGCGAGCAATCCTTGTATTCTCATGTGGACTTGCATGTGCCCATGGACCTCATCCCTGGAATGTATGTAACCTAGGAAGGGGCTGCAGGGTCACTGAGGATGTAACTCCTTAATTCGACTAAGCGCTGCCCAGCTGCACGCCAGAATGGCTGTGCCAATCTGTATTTCCTTTAGCAGCACCCAAATTTTCTGCAATCTTTAAATTCATATCAATACTAGAATCCAATTTTCTAATTTTTGCCAATTTCATGTGCATCAAGGAATATGCTGTTTTATTTTGCATTCCTTTTCCTTCTTTTTTGGGCAGGGGGACAGAGTTTTGTTTTTTTTTTTTTTATCCAACAAGAAGCCATAACTTTATTAATGATAGAAACAGTACAAATTTCAAACCAAGCTGCAGTTACTCTTTTGAAACATCAAAAAAAATCCTTGTTTTCAGATGGTTACATTGTTAATCCCATAATAGCATTTACAATATCATTCTGTTGTTCTTCAGGGCTCCGACTGCCTGTGCTCTCGACGCAGTTGCTTGTGACATGGACAATTCTATGTTTTCAACTTCCACACCTGTTTCATCAGCTTCTTCCTCTTCACTCTCCTCTTGCACAGTTGGAGTCTGTGTGTTTCTTGAATGTTTGAAACAGCTTTGCCTTGAACTTTCAATTTCCCAGCAGCTGCTAGCTGTGCCTGCTGAGACAGATCCTCCATCTTGGCTTCTCCTAGAACTATGGAGGTATCTGAAGCTGGGCTCTTGTAGACATCTGGTTTTGTGACGACAAAGAGGATATTCTTAGATTTCCGGATAGTGACTCTAGTAACCCCTGTAACCTGTCGAAGACCCAGTTTGGACGTAGCCTTCCGTGCCTTCTCTTCACTCCGACTCTGTTTTGCTTTACTGACTGGCTCCTCAGATCCTGTTCCGGGCCCTGTCTCCGCCTGAGGCTGTGGCAGCCCCTGCTCTGTAGCAGGGCGGTTTCTGTGGCTTCACTGGGCATTTTGTGCAAGGAACGCGGAACCAGGATGGCGGCAGAAAGAGAGCGAGTGAGAGTGGCCAGAGTCTCACTCTGTTGCCCCAACTAGAGTGCCATGGCGTCAGCCTAGCTCACAGCAACCTCAAACTCCTGGGCTCGAGTGATCCTCCTGCCTCAGTCTCCCAAGTAGCTGGGACTACAGGCATGCGCCACCACACCTAGGTAATTTTATGAAGAATACACACACACACACACACACACACACACATTTTAGTGGAGATGTAGTCTCGCTCAGGCTGGTCTCAAACTCCTGACCTTGAGCAATCCGCCCACCTCGGTCTCCCAGAGTGCTAGGATTACAGGCATGAGCAATTGCGCCTGGCTGGTTTTGCATTTTTTAATTACTTATATTACATAGATGGGTCTGTGTCTGAGTTCTAACTTATTCATTGTTCTATTTGTCTCTTCTTGTGCCGGTATCCTAGTGTTTTGGTTACAAGACATTGTAGCATGTGTAAATATCTAGGACAACTTCTTTCTTTTTTCTTTTTCTTTGTTCAAATACATTTATAATTACCATCTATAATTGATAATCATAACAGAATGATTATCATTGCCTTACGTGTAAAATTTAGGGGGCACCAAAAGAACTCAGTAATCAAAATAAACCATGTTTTAATGAAATATCTTAAAAATCAAAATTAATGCAAAAATACCTGATTAAATAATATCAAAACAGAAGTATTCAAAGAAAATGGAGAAAAGTAGAGACAGAAAATTAGAATATGTTATCACATAAGCCAAGGAAGCAAAGAATTCAGGAAGGAGGGAGTGCCGAGTAGTGTCAGATGTTCAGCAGAGGTCATGTGAGAAAATATGCTTGGTTCTGGAATCCTTTCAAGAGCAGTTTCACACAACGTGAGCAATTCTCCTTCCTTCACTGCCGTCATTCTGGAGTTGAGCTTGTGCCCTGGACTGGTAATGTGGCCCTTCCCTTCTCAGGATATTCTGGAGACTTGAAGCACCAGGGGTGGCCCCAGAGTCAGCTGGGGTTGGGGGTGAAATCCGACCCCTTTAGGGTATTCCTTGGCTTCTCACTGCTGTTCCTCCCAGGAGCGGGCTGCACGCAGGGATGACTGCCGTCTCCCCGAGACCTAACGGGGCAGAGAAATGGGGGTCAGGTGTAAAGGAAATGAGGACAGTGGGTCTGAGCTTCAAGTCCTGAACCAAGGGATGACAATAACGGTGTGTGTCTTGCTGCAGGTGACAAAATTCCTGAAAAGAAGAGGACGTAGGAGAGACCTGAATCCAGCTGCCCTACAAACTCCCAGTCGCAGCTTCCCGCTCAGCGCAAGTTCTCTGCACCCCAACGGCTGGCTTAATTGCTCGCCCTTCAAGTTCTGTCCCTGTGTGGTTTTTCTTGTTTTGTTTTTATGCTTTTGAGACAGAGTCTTGCTCTGTCATCTTGGTTAGAGTGCAATGGTGTCGTATAGCTCACAGCAACCTCAAACTCCTGGGCTGAAGCCATCCTCCTGCCTCAGCCTCCCAAGTAGCTGGGACTACAGGCATGCGCCACCATGCTTGACTGATTTTTATTTTCTTTTCAGACAGGGTGTCACTCTTGCTCAGGCTGGTCTTGATCTCCTGAGCTCAAGCGACCCTCCCATCTCAGCCTCCCAGAGTGCTAGGATTACAGGCATGAGCCACAACGCCTAGCTTCCATCCTTGTTTTTTACCTTAAAGCACTCAGCCCTTAGTAAACTTCCTGACAAACAGAAGGTAATGGATACATGTGGATACTTTTGTAGAGCTAGTATAAAGATTACACTTTTACTGGGCTTCCCATCCTCTGGTCTTCTTTGAAAACTCTTCACTTCTCCCTTCCTGACACCAGTGAATTCTTCAATATTTCAAAGCAGAGCGAGTCTGAGTTCTTCTTGCTAGAAGTCTAGGACCAGGTCGCATATGACTAAGTTTTTATAAAGGTGTGGTTTTAAGCTGGGTTGTGGGTGCAGTCACTGAAGGTCCTGGATGGAAGGGGTTGAGAATATTGACTCAGCCCCGGGCTCTCCCCTAACTACAGAGGAGGGGTGTGGGCAGAGGACAGTGGGGCAGTTGTGCTTGGGTGAAGCTTTGGTTGGATGTGCCTCGAAGACTGCAGTGATTGGGGTCTCTGAGGGAGAGATTTGGTCTGTCTGGGTCAGGGTTCCAGGCAGGTGTGGATTCCACTCACGACCCTTCAGCTGCCCTCTCTCGGGCGGGTTGTGACCAGAGCAATTTCCCATGAAGTGTTTTTCACACGATGAACTGAGAGCAAAGAAAGAAAAAGAAACTGCCCTCATTCATTCCAATTTATACCTGCCAGAGTCACTCTGTGTGAGAGAGCTTAAATTATCATTAGCAGAGCTTTGAATCAAAGGTTTGCAAAGAACAGTGTTAATCATAAAGTAAAATATATATATATATATTTTTGAGAGATAATCTCTCTCTGTCACACGGGCTAGAGTACAGTGGTGTCATCTTAGCTCACAGCAGCCTCACACTCCTGAGCTTAAGCGATCTCCTGCCCCACCCTCCTGGGTAGCTGGAACTACAGCCATGTGCCACCACACCTGGCTGATTTTTTAATTTTCTTATAGAGACAAGGTCTTGCTCTTGCTCAGGCTGGTCTCAAACTCCTGACCTCAAATCATCCTCCCATCCTGGTCACTCAGAGTGCTAGGATTACAGGTGTGAGCCACTGTACCCAGCTAGATTTTGTCGTTTTATGAATGTTATCTAGATGTTAAAATGAAAAGAGCATGAGATGGTAAAAATTCAGATAACTATAAGTGTTTGTTTTCTATTTTTTTCTTATTTTTAAATAAGAAAAGATAATTATTTATAGTAAAAATTATAATAATGTATTTTGGGGTTTAAAACATACCTATAGTAAATGTATGATGAAAATAGCACAAGGAATAGGATGGGGAAATGGAAGTATAGTGCTTATGTATGTGAAGTGGTATATTATTATTTTAGGGTAGAATGTATTAAGTTAAAGATGAATATTTTAAACACCACAGCAACTACTAAAAAAAGAGGTATAGCTAATAAGCCAATGAAGAAGATAAAATGGAATAGTAAGCATAACTAATCCAAAATAAAGATGTAAAAGAGGGAATACCAGTTAGGACAAAGAGAAAGTAACTAGTGAGATGGTAGATTTAAATACAACCATGTCAATAATTGAATTAAATGTACATGGTCTGAAGTCTGTAATTAAAAGGCAAAGATTTTCAGAATGCACCAAAAAAGTACAGGTCAACTATATGCTGTCTACATGATACCCACTTTAGGTATGAAGGCAAAGACAGTGGAAAAATGGGGAAATAATGCTAACCATGAGAATGTTGGTGGCTTTATTATTATTACTTTTTTTAGAGATAGAGTCTAGCTATGTTGCCCAGGCTGGTCTCAAACTCCTGGCCTCAAGCAATCCTCCCTCTCCAGCCTCCCAAAATTCTGGGATTATAGGCATGAGACACCGCACCTGACCTGGTAGCTGTATTTATATAAAAAATGTAGAAAAAAAGAAATATAGAACTTCAGAATAAGAAATATCATCAAGGATAAAGAGGAATGGTTCACAATATTAAAGGGATCAATTCATCAAGAACATAATACAGTCTTTTTTTGTTTGTTTTAGAGACAGGGTCTTACTCTGTCATGGAGGCTGGAGTGCAGTGGCCTGATCATATCTCACTGTAACCTTGAACTCCTGGGCCTAAGTGATCCTCCCACCTGAATCTTCCAAGCAGCTGGGACTACAGGCATGCACCACCATGCCTTGCTAATTTTTAACATTTTTTTGGTAAAGGTGGGGTCTTACTATGTTGCCCAGGTTGGCCTAGAACTCCTGGCCTCAAGCCATCCTCCTGCCTTGGCCTCCCAAAGTGCTGGGATTACAAGCACGAGCCACTCTGACCGACCCCATAACACAATCCTAAATATGTATTCACCTAGTATTATTAAAAATGTTTTAAAGCACATGACACAAAAAATGATAAAAATAAGAGCAGAAATAGACCAATCCATAGTTTTATTTTAATATTCCAACACTTTCCTCTCAGTAAACAATAGAAAAATTAGGTAAAAATCCCAATAAGGATATAAAAGATTTGAATAACACTTTTGACCAACCAATGTGATATAATTGGCATCTATAGAATACTTCACCCAACAGCAGCGGAATGTATATTATTTTTAGATGCACATAGAACACCCCACATGATAGACCATACGCTGGGTTATAAGCCACTCTCAATGAAGTTGGAAGGGTTGAAATGGTACAGAATTATTCTCTGACCACTACAGAATTAAATTATAAAGCAATAAGAGAAAAATATCTGGAAAATCCCAAATATTTGGAAATTAAAAAGCATACTTCTAAATAGCAACTGTGTTAAAAAAAAAAGAGTCAAAAGGAAACTTAGACAATATTTTGAACTGAATGAATATGAAAACACACTGTATCAAAATTTGTGTGATACAGTATTTAGAGGATAATTTATAGCTTTAGATAATTAGAACAAAGGAAAGCCCCAAATCAGTGATCTAGCTCCAATCTTAAGAAGCTAGAAAAAGAAGAGCAAATTAAATCCAAGATTAATAGTAAGAGAAGAAATAAATTCAATAAAAATTGACAATAGAGAAAATTAACAAAATCAAATGCTAGTTCTTTACAAAGCTCAATACATTGGTAAACCTCTAGCTAGATGCATCACAAAAGAGAAAAGACTCAAATTGCCAGTATCAGGAATGAAAGTGTGTACATCACAACAGATCAGACAGACACTAAAAAGACCATAGGGAATATTTTGAAATGCCAATACATTTTAGAGGCCAACAAATTTGACAATTTACATTGTTAAATTAGATCTAACGATGCCTTCACATTTTGAGTATCTACATAGCTAACTGCAAGCCAGCTTAGTATGTAGACAAACTACAACCAAAATTATGAGTATATTCTTGTAACAAATAGCTGATTCCCCGCCAATTACAGCAGCTGGGACTCAGGCGATTGCAGGCTGCCAGCTGATCAGACCGCGTCCATGTAAGCCAATGCCTCCGTACACCATGCACGAATGAGCAAATACTGCGCTGCAACCAATCAAGCTGTTTCTGAATTTCTTGTTTCTGTCTACAAATGGTGCCTGCCCATTGCTATAAATGGGCAGAGCTCTCTGAACCTCTTCTAGTTCTGAGTGCTGCCAGATTCATTAATTGTTCTTTGCTCAAATAAACTGCAAAATTTAGTTTGCCTTAAATTTTTCTTTTAACAAAATGAAATAGAAACATTCCTTGAGAGATTCAAATGACCAAAATCGACTCAAGATGATACCTGAATCAATGAAAGAAATTGACTTTGTAATGTAAAAACCTTCTCACAGAGAATATTCCAGGTCTGATGTCTTCACTGATTAATTCTATCACACATTTAAGGAAATAATAATACCAATTACACTCAAACTCTTTCAATAGAAGAAAAGAACACATCACAATAATTTATAAGTCCAGTATAGTAAGATCAAACAATGCCATTACAAAAAAAACTATAGACCCATATCACTCACAAACATAGATATATTATTAATGAGGCCAGGCATGGTGGCTCACGCCTGTAATCCTAGCACTCTGGGAGGCCGAGGTGCGAAGATCGCTCAAGGTTAGGAGTTCAAGACCAGCCTGAGCAAGAGCGAGACCCCGTCTCTACTATAAATAGAAAGAAATTAATTGGCCAACTAATATATATAGAAAAAATTAGCCAGGCATGGTGGCGCATGCCTGTAGTCCCAGCTAATTGGGAGGCTGAGGCAGAAGGATTGCTTGAGCCCAGGAGTTTGAGGTTGCTGTGAGCTAGGCTGACGCCATGGCACTCACTCTAGCCTGGGCAACGAAGCGAGACTCTGTCTCAAAAAAAAAAAAAAAAAAATCAATGTAATTCCACATCTTAACAGAATAAAGAGAAAAATAATATGATTATCTCAATAGATGCAGAAAACGGCATTAGTTTATTCAGAAAACTATGAATAAAAGGGAATTTCTTCAACCTGATAAGCAGCATCTATGAGAATCAACAACCGGCCAGGTGTGGTGGCTCACCCCTGTAATCCTAACACTTTGGGAGGCCAAGGAGGATTGCTTAAGGCCAGGAATTTGAGACCAACCTGAGCAAGTGCGAGAGCCTGTCTCTACAAAAAAATAGAAAAAAGTAGCCAGGTGTGGGGGTGTGTGCCTGTAGTCCCAGCTACTTGGGAGGCTGAGGCAGGAGGATCGCTTGAACCCAGGAGTTTGAGGTTGCTGTGAGCTAGGCTGATGCCACGGCACTCCAGTCTAGGACACAGTGCAAGATCCTGTCTCAAAAAAAAAAAAAAAAATCAACAATTGACATATTTTCAACTTTTTTGTAAGCATTTCACTTCCCCTATAAAACTAATTAGTTTTCTGGTATGACATTGGGATTTAGTGAAGAAACGCTCCCTACTGGAAAAATATGAAATGCTGGATATTCCATGAACAGTTTCTATGATTCTATGTAATTGAAGCTATTAACTATTAACTACATAATACTTTTAGTGACGAAAAGAAGATGGCATTCTTGAACTATGATGCCAGGTGGGCACACTGAGCAAAAAGCAAGGTTTGCAGAGAAGAAATGTTTCTAACGGAAAAATTGAGGACAAGAGTTTGAGGTGACGATGGCACATCCAGGTGGATGAGCCCGGCACACAGCCTAAGATGAAGCCGGAGGCTGCAGACCTGGGAGCTTTGTGGGGCATGGTGGTTGATGTCCTGAGTGTGAGTGAGGCCTGCGAAAGGACAGGGGTGGAGACGAGCGGAGCGGAGGCTGAAGGCGGGCTCCAGCAGGGCTCCACGTAAAGGCGGGAGGGAGGAGCAGTGGACAAAGGAGAGCACGGCATTCGGGAGTAAGCGGGGTAAGAGGCAGAGGGCTACGGGAAGAGAGTGACTCTCTCCCTCTCCCTTGCAGCTGTCTGTGGCCATGAGTGGGTAAGAGCCGATGGTCTGATGCGCTGCCAAAGCCGGAACAGGAGGCTGCGTTGACGCCAGCCGTGGTCTGCAGTAGGGACGCCGGTAGACCCCCGTGCTCTTCTTGGACCTGGGCCGGAGCCTTGTACATTCAGGGATCGATTCTTAAGAAAAATCTGTATCACCTGGACAATGGTATAAAGAAAAACAGAAAATGAGTAAAATAGTTCAAAGGCTTGGGATTTGGGAGCCATTAATAAATTTGAGCAAGTCCCTATGCATCATGGGTAAAAAACAAACAAACAAAAACCCTGACCAAGTTTGGTTTGGAGAAGAGAAAAGGGCAGAACCAGGGGTGATTTCAGGATCTCTGGCTCCAAATAAATACTCCTCAATTATGGAGGTCCTAGGAAGTCAGGCAGGGGTGTTTTGCTTTGTTTATGAGAAGAGTGTACCTACAGATCTTTGCATACATAAAACATATTAATGATTACATTTTTATTTTTTGGTCTGAAGTAGGAGTATCTGCTCCTAGTAAAGTGTAGACGAGACTCACATGAGCCCTGAGCACGTGTGTATGGCTAGGAGCAGAAGATACCTCCTTAGGGTGAGAGCACTTCAAGCAAGAAGGTTATTCTAGCCCATCCTCCCCCTTTGCCCTTTCTAAGTTTTCAGCTCTCATAGAAAAGCCTTTTTTGATATTTAAGCTCAATTGCTCTTCTTGTGGAACAATTAGAGGCAGCAATTAAGTCCTATAAAAAAATATTTGTCTGTTTCTTTCCTCCACTTCCTCTCTGAAAAGGCAGCATTGCAGCCATTTCCCTCACTCCTTTCCCGTTTCCCTTTCTCTTTGCTCAGGGTTTGCATACAGTCAACTGAGAAATCTGTCCTAAGACGAGCTGTTGAGCACTCAACTGTGCAAAGGTTAAAGCTAGGCTCTAAGACTGAGAGGGAAAGGCTGATGGAACAGGTTTGGGGAAAGCTGTGATGATAAGAATTACTACTTCTGCTTAATGACTTTCCCTCCGGCCAGTGAGAAGCGAGTGTGAGGCACTGCCGCTTGTGTCCAGCTAACAGCGATGCTGCGATTGTCCTGAGCTGAGTTATGGAGAAGGGAGCGGTGTTATAACAGAGATACTGTATCTTTGCGTTCTGGAAAGAGAAGCAGCATGGTATCGAGAGAGTAGTTCTGGGAGTGGGCAGATGTATCCTGTGGACCTAGAGGGGACAGAACTGGGGGTCTGAGTGGGCCTTGGGGAGGAAGAGCCCTCCACAGTGAGAGCTGCAGCGCGCCGGCTGGGGTTAGAGCCGCGGCCTCACATGAGGAGCGGTCGGTGCGGCCACCAGTTGCAGCCTGCCGGGAGCCTTTCAGGATGGTGGCATCGAGTTGCCAGCCATACCCTTTCTCGAGACAGACTGTTAGCTCAGATACGACTCTCCAGCCCTCTTCAAAGAACGGATGTTTTGAAACGATAGCATTTCAAATGAAACCCACAAAAATGCAGAAACAACAAGAGGTAAACTTTCTATTAAGGAAGGAGAAGGCGGCCGGGCGCGGCGGCTCACGCCTGTAATCCCAGCACTCTGGGAGGCCGAGGCGGGCGGATGGCTCGAGGTCAGTGTAAGGCTGGTCCCCCTCCTCTCCCTAGATCAAAAAGAAAAGGCTCATGAGGTCAGACCTGCCAAGGACAAAACTGCCAGGCCCCGCTGAGAGGATCCACGCCCAGATGTCCACCTGGGTAAGAACGTTTTGACTCATGGATTCCACAAAAACCTCCAGTCCCTCCTGTTTCTCAATGACCACCCAAGGTCACAATGGAAAATCCCCAGCTCTTCCCACCAAAAGTCCCTAGCCAGGCCCAAAGGATATAAAAGGCCTCAGCCCCTTCAAATGGAGGCGACTACTAGGGCCCCTGCTCTTGGGGCCCCAGAACCTCGTCCACGAGTGTATAATAAAGCCACGTGGTTTGGCCCCCACTCTTTCTGTCTGTCTTTTCTTTTCATCGCCGCTGAAAAACCTTACGGTCAGGAGTTTGAAACCAGCCTGAGCAAGACCCTGTCTCTACTAAAAATAGAAAAAATAGCTGGGTGTGGTGGTGGCACCTGTAGTCCCAGCTACTCGGGAGGCTGAGGCAGGACGATGGCTTGAGCAGGAGTTTGAGGTTGCTGTGAGCTAGGCTGACATCATGGCACTCTAGCCCAGGTGACAGAGCAAGACTCAGTCTCAAAAAAAATAAAATAAAATAAAATAAAATAAAAACTAAAAAGTAATATGAAACAGGTTAAATTAATTTATATTTAAAACCCAATATATCCAAAATATTGTCACTTGAATATTAATTAATATAAAATTATTAATGAAATTATATATATATTTAACCAAATCTTCAGATTCCAGTGTGTTTTATACTTACAGTTCATCTTGTTCTTGTAAGGTTTTTCAGTGGCGGCAAAAAGAAAAGACAGAGAGAGAAAGAGTGGGGGCCAAACCACATGGCTTTATTGTACACTCCTGGAGGAGGTTTGGGGGCCCCAAGAGGGGGGGCCCAGAAGTTGCCGCAGTTTGAAGGAGCTGAGGCCTTTTATACCCCTTGGGCGTGCTAGGGACTTGTGGCGGGAAGAGCGGGGGTTTTCCATTGTGACCTTGGGTGGTGGCTGAGAAACAGGAGGGGCTGGAGGTATCTGTGGAATCCAGGAGCTGAAACATCCTCGTCCAGGTGGAGATCTGGGGTGGCTCCTTTCTGCAGGGCCTGGCAGTTTTGTAGTTGGCGGGTCTGGTGAGCCTTTTCTCTCTCTTTTTTTATCTAGGCAGGGGAGGGGCCGCCGGCGGCCTTACAGTACTCGACACCCAAGTGGCCGGTGGCCGCCATGTCGGGCGGCACAGTCCTGGAGGAAAGGGCCGCGTCCTGCCCTCCTCTGTTCCCAGCACAGGACACAATGTCCAGACATAGTAGGTGTCCTATAGACATTTACTTAATTAATGAATCACATCTCCTAACATCTGCCTCAACTTGCAATGCTCCAGGGAACATGACAGATACAACTTTACCTCCACATCAGCATTCTGGAAAATTTGAATCTGTGTCATTTTCAAAAGACACTTTAGTCATCTTTTTGTTGAGCCTATGTGTATTGGAAAGTCTCTCCCTAGAGCCACTGGTATTCACTTTACTTACTTTAATTTGTTATTTAATTAAAGTATTTATTTAATGCTGTGCTAGCATTTAGGGGAGAAGGGAGATTGTGTAACAGAGACGCAATAAACTGTGACCCCTTCTCACAGGGCTTTCTCCTCTGAGACGGAAGGTAGGTCATACTAACTATTACAAGAAAATAATGGTGAGACCTGCTTCCTGCCAGGACGAATTAGCATGTGATTTGGATTCCCACCCCTAAAATCAATCCTGGACAAGCCATACAGAGAAAATAGTGGGAACTCTGGTGAGACTGAAAGGTGTTTTGAACTAGTGGTGGCGTTGCTGGCCCTTGGCTGTGAGAAGGTTCTTGGAGGCAGCCTGCCTCGCCTCTCCCAGGGCTGGCCTTGAGTAATCATTGTCCGTTCCACGCTACAAAAAAAAAATGACAAGATCCTGACTGCCAAACAATCTTGCCAAAAAAAAAAAAAAAAAAAAGATCCTTGCTGCCTGTTGAGGGTTGGGAAAAATCCAGGCCCAAATCCTGCTGGAGTGGGAGGAGCTGGGGACAGCCAGTCACAACTGACTGCCGTAGTCACGGCTCCTCTGCCACTCCAGCTACCAACCTGGGCGACTAGAGCAGGGAGGACAGGCCATCGCCCAGTGCCCCTTACCCTGAAGTGCCACTCAGGTGACGCCACAGTGACCGTGGTGTTGTGTCAGCCTAGGACTCAGGCTGCCCTTCCTTCTCTTTACACATGACACTGACACAGATGGCTCTCGTGGTCAAAGCATAAGACCTTTAGGAAGTGCCCCACTGCAAAAGACAAACAGCAAACAGGACCATAGGTGTCCCTAAAAGAAGTATTAGAAAATATAGACCAGCCATTTAAAATGAGCATAAAAGCAATTTAAATAAATAAGAGAAGCTATTTAAATATGAAAAAAAAATGAAATATAGGGAAAAATATATAGAGGTTCTGGTGTGAAAAAATATAACAGTTGACATAAAAACAGCATTAATGATGGTTTAATTAGTAATTGTAGACTACACTGAAGAATAGTCTCAAAAGATAGAAGAATAAAAAAATAGAGGAAAAAAAGTCAAGAGATGGAAGAGAATTCAAATATGGAAATATGAGTTCCGTAAGAGAAAAAAAAAAATAAAAATAGCACAAAATAGTTAAAGAAGTACAAGAGATTAATTCCCAGAAGTAAAAGAGATAGAGATGATAACAATGTCTTACAGCAAGACAAGAGAAAACCAACTTTAGATACACAATATAGCAAAAATTTAAATGTCAAAGTTAATGAGAAAATTCTAAAAGAGTTCCAGCTTGAAAGGCTGGCAGATTTTTCTAACTATGACACTGGATTTGAAAGAAACATTGGGTGATATTATTTAAAATACTAAAGGGAAAAGAACTTAAAATTAGAATTTAATACAAACTAAAATTTATTCAAAAAGTGATGGTATAATAAAAATATTCTCAGCTGGGTGCAGTGGCGAACACCTGTAATCCCCTAACTTGGGAGGCTGAGGTGGGAGGACTGCTTGGAGTCCAGGAATTCAA